AAAAAAAAAAGAATACATAATATTTCACAATAAAAAAGATACTATCATCAAGAAAATACTGAGAATAAAATTATTTGAATATATTCGTAAACTGGCAGAAGAAGAAGAAGAATAATAATGTCTATTTCTTGAGAGATTTATAATTGATCGAATAAAACTATTATAAGTGCCTACACGTGTATAAACTCCAGGTGTATTTGGTTTACCACTAACAAAAAAAAAAAATGAAAAATTCATCTTTTATTTTTCATATAATTATAAATCTTACCATGATTTACCAAATGATGTAATACCTATTATTTCCCAACGATTATCTGAATTTTCTACCATTAATGGTCCACCTAAGAAATAAAAAACAAAAAAACAAACATCATATGAAAATAGATATTTCATTAAATAAAAAACCTGAATCAGCTTGACATGTATCAATACCACCATTAAGTTCTCCTGCACAAATTTGTCCTTGAGCATAAGTTACATATACACTACATGGCCATTTTGTTGTTTCAAGAATAGGTAAAACAACTTGTTTAAGTGATGTAGATGGACGACCACCAAATGATGTTGAACCCCAACCAATTGCTACTGCAGCAGATTTTATAGGTGGATAACTTTTTCCTATAAGATCATCTGGTGGTAAACAAATTGTTCCAATACGTGGATCATTATCAGGTAATGGTGATATTAATGTTATTATTGCAACATCATTAGCAAATGTTTCAGAATCATATTGAGGATGTATATCAATTGATAATGCAGATATTGAAAGTTTTTTTTCATTAACATGATGTATACCAGCTAATATATTCATATCTGATATACCTTTAAAATCTTCTATACAATGTGCAGCTGTTAAAACATGTCGTCTTGTTAATAGAACACCACCACATAAATGTAAATTATTTAATGATCGTTTAGCTAATGATACCATCCATGGATATGAATGTGGTACAGCATTTTGTCCACCCATAATGCGCCCAAAACGATTTGTTACTTGACTTCTTCCACATGACCAATTTGATAATTGATCAATTTGTTGTATTGATAAAGTATTTTTATAAAAATTTTTTAATGGTATTTCATGATTTGTCGAATGCCATGAATAAATTGATGGTGATGGTTGTTGTTGTTGTTGATTTGCTGAATAGTACCATTTTTGACCAGTAATTGTTTGTTCTTGTTGATAATAAAATTGTGGTTTATTAAAAATATTTTGATATTGTCTTATTGGAGATTTACTTGCAGAATTAACTATTATAATATTAAAAATAATAAATTGTAGACATAAAAGATTGAGCATGATTAATAATAAAATTTTCGTTTCTCTTTTTTTTTCTATACATCAACCAACCATATTTGTCAGTTGACATATCTTTAACAGTGACATTATTTTACAGCATAGAACAAAAAAAAAACACTACCGAGAGAAAAAAAAAGTCCTTTTGAAGTTATAATTATTTCTCGTTCTATAATGTTATGACAGAAGAGAAAAAGAAAAATGTATTTTTTTTTTATCATGTTCGCCTTTCGTTGTCACCGATTTGGTTGCAAATGAAGAAGTCGATTGCGGTATTTTTAATAATGAAATGCCTTACAATGTTGAACGTATGCAATTAATGCACACAGCTGTGCTATATGTACTATTTCCTTTGTCCTTGTTCATTGTAGTTACTAGGATTTTATTTTTTCTTTGTCCGTTCTGAATAGAAGTCAAATTGTATATTTAACAAAAGTCAATATATATTGTCTTGAAGACATCTTATCTTAATTGAAAAATGATGTATTAAAAATTGTTTAATAAAAGTTTTAAAGTGTTGAGTGACAACTTGGTTTTTTTTTTCAAGGTGATTTGTCTTTTCGTTGAATTTAACCTATAAACAAATAATGTTTTATTATTTTATAACAAAGCACATTCTTTTTTTTATGATGTCATTTATTTTATAATTCATACATATATGTATTGATTGTAAGGATTTAACATCTTTCAAGGAGAGAAGCTATGTATGAAAGTCTTAAAAAAGTACAACTTTAGAAATGACAGGTAGAAAATCAGGTATGATCATACGATGATTAGGTTGTATGAGAGAAAGAATCGATATAAAGTAGATCATATAATGGTTTTTGATTATAAACAATAATATGAAATTAATAATCATTGCTCTATCATTGGTTAATATTCATTCTTTTTTCATTTGTTGTTTTCTATTCATTTTCATATTTAGGTAATTTTAATCGCTATTTAACTTCACTACCTATCAATTCGATTAGTTATTATAACCAATCTCAAAGATTTGGATTATCAGTTGACCAACAGTCAATCAGATAACAATGAACAACGGCACAACATGATGAGCCATCAGCTGGTAACGATCACTTTTAAGGAATCGATCAGTTAGATAGCAAAGGCAGTGAAGAAAAACGATGATTCATACAATAGGTGTAATTTTCCTACCGATATGCCTTTTAATGGTGCTCAAGGTCATCAAGATAAGAATTAGATTTTTTTGTCATCCAATCTCAGAGAATCGTAATTTAGAAGGATTCAATCCTAAAGGATGGTTCAAAAGTTTCGACTCCTATCCGTAAATTGACGCTATTTATACAAAATACATATGTAAATAGTTGTCTGAAGTACACAGTTTTGTAGAATGAGATTATGAAAAGTTATAGTTTCTTTATTAAGGATTTTACATCTAACACTACTTTTCGGAAAAAAGTAAAAATATTCTTGTAATATCTGAGTGATTATAGTTGAGCAAAATGCTAGTTTCTAAATATTTTTACACGGTTCGATAGAGTTCGACAAGCTTTACAAGAATATGAATATCGAACAAAAAAAAAACACTTTTGATCCTGTTTCTGAGTTTATCGAACTGTATAAAAATTTCTAGAAAACAATATTTTGCTTCAGACATTTTAGTTCACAATTAGAAAACGATACTTAATTAGATATCTACAAAAAATGTTCTTTCAATTTAGAAGAATATCATAGTCAACATGCATACATGTTACATACAACTGAAAAAACTACTTTGACAAATTGAGGTTAGTTCTTTTCTTTTTTTTATTGTTTTGCTTATTATATTTGCAATTATATAATTAAAATAAAAGAAAAAGTTTTCATCTGTTTTGAAAATTTTTTATTCATTAAAAAATAATTTAACACATTCAAGGCGATGGGACCCATCGGTGGGCCCCATTACAAGTTTAGCACAGAAAAATTTGAATATCTCTACCATATTTTTGGCCAAACGGACTGGTTCTTTTACCACTGATAAAGGAATCTTCATAGATCATATTCATAAGAGAAACATTGACAAAAGCTGTTTTTTGAAATATTACAATTGCCATGAATAAAGAAATACAATTTTTCACGAATTATGAAAAAAAACAATATTCATATCGCCACGAATGTGTTAATCTAATTTATTTTATTCTAAATATAGAATTATACAAAATAATAATGATAAAATTTGAATTGGTATTTGAATTATCAATGATTGAGATGAAGAATCTATCTTATCATTAATCCAATCAATAAACATATTCACTCGTGTATAAACACCTGGATGTTTAGGTCGACCACATCCCAAGCCATATGATGTTATTCCAGCAATATGCCATGTACTTGTATTCTTATCAAAAATCATTAATGGTCCTCCACTAAAATAATGAAAGAAAAAAAATCTATTAATTCTATTTTAATAATTTTCTCTTCAACCTATCTCCTTGACATGTATCTTTTTCACCTTGAATAAATCCTGCACAAAATTGAATATGTTCATCACTTATTTGTTGATCACAATATTCATTTCTATTTGAAATAATTGGTAATTGAACTTGTTGAAGTGTATATGATAGTGAACCATTTTCTTTTAAATTTCCCCAACCAATTGCAATACCACTCATTTGTTCATATGGATATACTGATATATTATTGGGTGGTAAACAAATAAATCCAAGTTTTGAATTATTTAAATCAATTTTATGTGAAAGTTTTAATAATGCAATATCATTTAAAAAGAATTCATTATCATATTCTTCATGTAATATAATCGATTGAATATTAATACGAATTGGATTTGTTTCATTGATATAATGAGAACCAATAACAACAAAATAATCTGATAGAAATAAACGATTTTTATCATAAAAACAATGTGCAGCTGTTAAAACATATTCATCATTTATTAAAGTTCCACTACAAAATGCACTATCAGGATCTATTAATGGTATATGAAAATATGTTTGACGTATACTAACTATATTAATAAAAAATTTAAAATTAATTAAATTAATAATTTTAAATATTTACCAATCCATGGCCAAGAATGTTCTCGAGCTGTATAACCTCCAATAATTCTTAAATTAGAAAAAATAGGTTGTTGATATGAACATCCACATTGTTTAAATGAAGGTATACATGATGAAAATAAGAAATGAAATTGTAGAGAAAAAAATAGAATAAAAAAAATCATTGTTATGTTTTTTTTCTTCTTTATATTGATTATTTCAATCGAATTAATAGTTTTATTTTTCCTTATTATAATAAATATTTTTAATAAAACATCTGTTATTATTCTCATCATATAATATTTTTGACGTCGATACAATATATTTTTTATTTCATTCTTATAAAAATAAAAAAAAAATAATAATAATAACATTTGTCTATTATGTACGATATTCTGGATGTTGTAAAAAATAATTTTTAACTAATTGAAGTGATCGACTTCTATGACTAATTCGATTTTTTTCTGTTTTATCCATTTCAGCAAATGTTTGACGACCTTGTTGTCCTTGTTCATTATCTGGTTGAAATATTGGATCCCAACCAAATTTATTTGGTCCACGTGCTTCAACAATTCGTCCTGAACATCGACCATCAAATATAATTGGTTCACTTGTTGGTCCAGCACAAAATGCAAATACACATTGTGCATATGCTGTTTTATCATCATAACCAATAAGTAATTTATTTAAACCATCATATCCTAATTTATCTAAAAACCATTTTATATATGGTCCTGGAAGACCATGTAATGCATTAAAACATAATGATGTATCTTCAATTAAAACTGGACCATTTATACGTTGAGCAGCTAGTTTAGCTTTTTCTTTTGAAATTTCTTCTGGTTCACCTTGATATTCTGGTACTATTAAATAAATGAAAAAAAATAATAATAATAATTTATTTATATTTATATTTATTTAATACATACAATCGAGTTCTTCTGATTTTAAATTAGGTAATACATCAGCTAATATTGCTTGAACTTCAGCTAATTTATTCTTATTTCCTGTAACAAAAGTAACTACTACCATTTTCTTTCTTTTTTTTTCTTCTACCTATAAAAGAAAATATATAATATTTTGTTCTCATTCTTTTATATAAAGAAAATAAAAAAAACATACCCAAAAACGTGAAATATTTTTCGTTGTCACAACAATAAACAGAATTCACCTTGTCGTAAAGTAATAGAATTCATAAAATTATCGAATAGTAAAATATAACGATGATGAAATATTTTATACTATAAGTCGTATGACTAATTATACCAAAAAAGAAATTTCACAAATGTTTTGCAATCATATTTTTATTATTATTATGAAATATATCTATATATATATACATATAATCAAACAAAAAAACAATCTGTATATATAAGGCACCACATATAACAATCAATTAAAGAATATTATGCATCTGATGATGATGATGATGATGAAGGGATATTTTCAGTATATATCTGTGGTTCTTTAAGAAATGTTTGTAAACGTAATGGTAGATCAAGATCATCAATACGATCACGACGTATTTGTCGATGGATAACAAACCGGATTATATGTTTTAATGATGTCATATAAGCATGACGAGACATTGGGTATAATAAACGAACTGGTGTCATTGGTTGACCTAGGATTTTAAAAAAAAAAACAAAAATTTCGATTGAATATTATGAGACCAATCAAATTATTTGGATAAGTTCGATCAAAAGTTATGTAGTTTGTTTGTAAAATATAGTTTATCTCTTATAGGAATTATGGAGCGTATACTCATACTACTACTAGAAATATTAAGTTTATTTTTCATCGGAAGATACAAAATTTCTCTCACTTAAACACTAGAAATCCTATAAAAAGTTGATACACTTCGTTGTGTTAACAAGGGAATTGTCCAAAGTGATTTACCACTTTTGAGCTCATATTTTAGACATATAGAAGAGACCTCTAGACTAGAATAACCCTAAAAGGCTTCGGATCCATAGACCTCCTCTACAGAGTTAGAGCAATTTTACTTGAATTTTAGCCTATGACACGATATGTACAAACAAAGTCACTGACGATATTTCAACCTAAAATTTTGTCCACAAATAGGCCTACTTATAATTAGAATGCGCTGAAAATTTCAGTTGAAAAGAATATTTCCTTCACGAGATATTGAATGTCGATAAAATATGAGATTCTTGCATCTGTTATAGGATCTGAGTGATTTTTGAAAATTCAATATCTCGCGAAGGAAACATTCTTTTCAACTGAAATTCTCAGCAAAATTTCAGATTGAAATATCGTCAGTCAATTTGTTTGTATATATCGTGTCATATACTAAAATTCAAGTAAAGTTGCTATAACTCTGTAGAGGAGGCCTATGGATCCGAAGCCTTTTAGGGTTATTCTACTCTAGAAGTCCCTTCTATATGTCTAAAATATGAGCTCAAAGGTAGTGAATTACTTCGGATAGTTCTCTCGTTAGTGGTATGCATTTTCAATAAAACACAGTATTGAGCAGTCTGCTTTGATTCTATTTAAAGTGGTGTAGTCTGTTGAGATAATTATAACTTTTATGCAATAAATGGCAATGTAAAAGGCGGAGTAGTCAATAGGACTATCAAATAATGCTACTCTGATGAAGGTGAATGTGGATCTGCTATTCACCCACACTCTAAATGCGTGCTGCTGAGAAATATGTTTTAATGAAAATGCATGCCGCTAAGCACTATGCAGCGTATCAAATGTTCATAGAAACAAGGCTTTTCATGAATATTAATGAGAGGAATTCTTCCGCATAATACTGACCGATATCAGTCATAAAAATGAAATTACATATTACATTTACCATAAAATTTAATCTTTAGAAAAAAAAACATTCGATCGTAAAATATAAAATGAGAAAACATTTTTTTTTTTCGATACACATACCAGGTAAGTTCGATCGAATAAAAAACATAAATTGACCCGATTTTGAATGTTGAATTATATTCTCAATGAATTCTACTACATCTGATGATGTACACTGTGATTTTGTATTACTATGATAAAAACCAAATGAATCTACAAAGTAAACAAAAAAAAACAAATTTTTTTTTTTTTACTTAATTTATATCACAAAAAAAAGACAATAATTAAAACTAAACTGTTACTATGTTCAATTCGTGTATGATGTATATTGCCTTGTGATTTAAATGTAACTGCAAGAAAATAATGACGATGATCACTATCTCGAACAATAAATGAATAATCTTGTTTATCTTTAAGTAATCGTTCAGCATCAATCCAACTTAATGGACCCCAATACCAACCAACCTGTATAGATGAAAAAAATAAATATATTTATAAATTTTTTGTTCATTATTACTTCTTTTAATCTTTGTAAACTATCTAATTGAGCGATCATTGGAGATTTATTTTCATTATCTATATATATAGACAATATAAAATCAATCATAAAAATTTTTTTCTTTATTATTAAATTTCTAACCTGTTAATATGTTTGATCTATTATTCATTTTTACTATTTGTTGTTCGATAAAATTTTCTTTCATTATCAATTGAACATAGAAAGTTAAATACATTTTTTTGATATTTCATATCGATTATTAAATAAAAAAATAACAAGTAAAAAGATATTCATGACATTATTTCTTTTCTGTTCATATGTTTGTCTATGAACATTTAATGATTTAACAAAATGACCAATTAAATGATTGTGGATAGATGGCACTAAATTGGTATAACCTTTAAAGAACAAGTGATTGTTCATTTCATGATTAAGTGTCTATCATTCAGGTATACTTGTCTTGAACAAATATCAATAATTATAATGACTATAAAGCAATGATTTGAATTGATGTTAGTTATAAAAATAGTAATAACTTGTATGGTACTCTTCGTTATAGTGATGATTTTTGTTATTGTGGTCAAATTAATGATCATTGTCAAGTTTATCTTACTGTTCTTCTATACAAATTACAATTCATTATTTGTTTTGTTTCAATTAATATATCATATGATTTTGAATAATTTAGATTTCATAAAATAATTAATAATCAACAATATTTATCGATTTTTCTTTTATTCATTTTAATTAACTAGTATTTAATCATGCAATATTTGTATATAGAGATAGAAGCGTACTCAAGACACTTTAAGAATGTTCTAAGAGTGAAAACAGTCAATTATATGATTATTAACATGAAATGATATATCGCATTTGTTGTACATAAAAGAAACAAAGTGTTCTTCACTGCCATAAACAATACGCAAGATAGGAGTAAATGAATATCTTTTAATACATTAAAATGATAATTTACTCTACCGTAAATATTAACGTCTATTTTACGTTCGAATAAGTATTTAATATTAAACTCTAACCAACTCATTTTGAATATATGTTTAGTTTTATTTTACACAGGCTAATCTCTAGTTCAAAGTACTATTTGCTATAACGGGTCATCTGTAATGAATATGATCGGTTTTTGTATTTTTTTTTTCTTTTTATCACTAAGTACATTTTATTCAAAAACAAAATATACCACAAGATGCAACATGATAAACTCTATAGACCACAGTAAATATTTTATTTTATATATGCACCATTGATTTTTTAGATTAAATGATATTTTGTGCGAACAGAATCATTTTTTCTTACACAATGAATTTCTTTTTTTGATTTATCAATTAAAGAATCATAGTTTTTAAATTTAATCTCATTGCATATTATTGACGTTCGCGTTCTAGACTTAATGATCCAAAAACTTGAGATCAGATCCATTTGATAGCCACCTATGATTGTTTATAGAACGTATGAAATTATCTGCATATCATGTCAATGTTTTCAGCTATGTACACAGCGTGATAATGTTCCAACCAGGTTAAAATATGATTGAAGGCATAAGCTCAATTTTATAAGCACCTAACTACACCATCATTCTTTTTAGATACTTTGTCTCCTTGTTGGTCTGCTTCCTATCGGCTTGCAATATCGACATGTTCTAATGAAAATTATTTTTCGTCAATGAATTGAATTATCTTCAATCGACGAGATAAAAAAAAAGTAAACTGATCATTTAAATAACATCGAAAATTTATCGCACGGACTAGTTGCGATAAAAAAAAGACATACCTTTCTCTATCTAATGATTAAGAATGACGTTTGTAATAAAGAAATAAAAACTTAAATCTTTTCGTAGAATATCTATGCCTGTTTTATTCTAATATGTAATAACAAACTTAACAATAAATATTATCGATTTTCGAGTCATGATGTTGAATATAGTACTTCATCATTTTCATTATATCTATCTCACATAGAATACAAGTTTCAATATGAAAAAAGTGAATAAAAAATTCAAGATAGATAAAAGAAAGATTAAAATGTTTTATATAACATTCATATTTTTTCTTTTCGATAAGTTTTCATTGTCTATTTCTTTTATATACATATAAAATAGAATAAAAAACATGACACATAAGATAAATAGAGAATGAAGAAATATTTTGTTGTAAAACACTACTCTCAACAATTAAGATTTCAATTTAAAAATAAATATTCTCAAATAGCTGGTATCCAACAACAGATGTAAACTTTTGAAAACTTTCTATCTAATTTTCTTGATAAACGACAAGAGCTTGTTTTTTATTTTCGATTATTGAAATCGGCAACAAACTCGATGAACATTATAATAGTGTCAATATTACTAAGATTCTGACTAGTAGCACTGGGACTGCTGATATAATCATCGGTCTTACAGGAATTGCACTTGCTAGGTGGACCGATGGCTTATCAATCGTACTTACTGTTGATGGTGGTACCTTGACGACAGTAAGCGATGCAGCTCATTTGAGTTTCAATATTGTTAAATGTTTGTTGATTAGATCATATTTAAAGGAACTGAATAAGATTTGTCACACTGAGGAATCAAAATTTTTCGATTAGTTGATTAACTTGAACGAATGATAAAAGAAATGCAGAAAAAATCTTTCAACGGCAAAACTGATTTTAAAACAGCAAGCAATACTATCCAAGAGGTATCAAGAGTAATAGT